TTTTATCTATTTCTACAAGAAATGCTGTTGGGATTTTGATTGGCATTGCATTGAACTTATAGAGAACTTTTGGTAATATCACCATTTTGATGATGTTTGTTCTGCCTATCCATGAACAGGGTATATTTTTCCATCTTCTAAGGTCTTCTTCTATATCTCTCTTTAGGTTTCTGTAGTTTTCATTGAATAAGTCTTTCACCTCTTTTAAACACCATTTTCAAAGCAAACAGCACTTTATTTTATTTCAATAAATACATGGGGGACAAACAAACTAGTAAGCATTTAGCAATTAACTCTCCATAAGGGGGGAAAAAAGAATTGATTTGTAGCATTTGCCAATTTTCATGATATAAATACTGCCACTGAAACTAATTTCAAGTCACTTGTCTAACATCAATATTCTTATAAAACGCTTGTAAATAACAGTAGGCTTTTGTGAGCCAGTACAAGCTGGCTGTGACACACCAGGTCTGTGTGTGTGTGTGTGTGTGTGTGTGTGTGTATAAAACAGATGCTGTAAAACAAAAGAATTATAATAAAAAACTATTCTTGAAATATAGTTTAACATCAAACATTTCTTCTGCATGAATATTCTTTTAAATAGTAAATTAAAAGAATATTTTAATAATAAAGGGGCAGAGTAAGATGGTGGGATAAGAGCCTCCAAAGATTGAATCTCAACAGAAACATCAATTCAAGAACTATTCATGCATGAAAGTACCTTCACAAGAGCCATGGGAGATCACAGTACCTGCTTTTAGCATCAAATAAGAAAGATTCTTTAAAGGCAAAAAGGAAAGAACTGCTCACATGACCCTTCTTTCAACTCTAAGCAGCACAATGTAGAGAAGGACACCTCCCACTTGAGAGAGGAATATAGACCTTAGACACGAAACCAAGTGCCAGGTGTACCACAGTGACATTCAGTACTGGGAATAATGCTATAGCCCCTACCCCCAGTCTTTGACTCAGACAAAGCCTGTGTATGCACCCTTCACCAGGCAGAGACTTGTGGCCCCAATAGGACAGCCTTGCATTTTAGCCCACTTCACCTCCAATCAGCTGCAGGGTCTTGGGCCACAAAGAAACCACAGCAGCAGGCAGGTCACAGCAGGAAGGGCCTTGGTCCTGCCTCATGCTGCACTGGTATCAGTGGACTATTGGCTCCTGATACGAACTGGCACTGAAGCAGCCATGGTGTCCGTGGGACTGCTCAATCTTTCCACAATCCCAGGCAGCACAACATGGAGAGAGTTACTGTCCATTGCAGAATGAAGAGGGAGATAGGCACTAGTTGTTTCTGGACCTTCCACAGTGAGGCCTGTGCCAGGCAAAATTCTATGGTACCTGACTTCAGATCATTGACCATGGACAAGGCATCTGGATAGTTGACATGGAGGCTTATAGAGAAGGACTACCCTTTCAGATATATCCCTCGGCCATCTTGAACAACACAATGGCAGATTTATGACAAACTAGAGTTTGGGGGCACTCTCTAGTGCTGAAACAGTGACTACACACCACTGTACAAATATTAATAGACCTAAAGGGAGAGAGATACTCCAGCACAATAATAGCAGGGAACTTTAATATCTCATTTTCAGCAATGGACATATCATCTAGACAGAAAATCAACAAAGAAACAGCAGAGTTAAACAGCACCAGAAACCAAATGGACCAGTAATTACAGAATATTCTATCCAACAGCTGAAGAATATGCATTCTTCTCAGCAGCACAAAAACATTCTCCAGGAGAGATTATACGGTAGGCCATATCAAGTATCTTATCTAATCACGATGCAATAAAGCTAGAAATCAGTTACAAGAAAAACTTAGAAATACATGGAACTTAAACTGACCCAAATTACCAATGGGTCAGTGAAATAATTAAGAAGAAAATATACAATTTTCTTGAAATAGATGATAATGGAAATACAACATACCAAAACCTAGGAGGTATAGGAAACTTAGAGGAAAACTGATKGACTTGTATATATTGAGCTCTTCTTGCATCCCTAAGACGAATCCCACTTGATGATGGTGGACAACATTTTTATGTGTTGTTGAGTTTAGTTAGCTACTATTTTGTTGAGAATTTTTGCACATAGGCTCATGGTAATGTTGACTTTCTTTTACATCAAAAAAGCAGAAAGTTCTCAAATAAATAGCCTGTTGCATCTCAAGGAACTAAAAAGAAAATACAAACAAACCAAACCCAAAGTTGGCAGAAGAAAAATAAAAGTCAGACCAAATAAATGAAAGAGAAGTGAAAACAACAATATGAAAAAAATAACAAAATTAAGAGTTGATTTTTGCAAGCATAAACAAAAATGACACTTTTAGACTAAAAAAAATSACTCAAAATTAGAGATGAAAAAGTCTCTGATATCACAATTTATACCACAGAATTGAAAAGGATCATTGAAGACTATCATGAACAACCACAAGCCAACAAATTTGATAACCTAGAGAAAATGGAAAAATTCCTGACACATATACCTTACCAAGGCTGAATCATGAAGAAATAGAAAACGTGTACAGACCAACCACAGCAAGACTGGATTAGTCTCCCATCAGAGAAAAACCTAGAATCAAACAACTTCACTGATGCAGTCCATCCAAACCTTTAAGGAAGAACCAATTATTTTTCAGTTATTCCAAAAAAAAATTAAGTGGTGGAAGGAACTCTTACAAACTCTTTTTTTAAAATGTTTTAAAATATTTTTCAATTGTTGTTATTTATTTATTTATTTATTTATTTATTTATTTATTTATTTATGTGGTGCTGAGAATCGAACCCAGGGCCTCACACATACCAGGTAAGTGTGCTACCACTGAGCTACAGCCCCAGCACCTCTTCCAAACTCTTTTTACAAGGTCAGAACTATCCTGAGACCAAAACTAGACAAGAACATGAATAAAGACATACTACATACATTTCCTTGAATAACATTCATGAAAAAATTCTCAACAAAATACTAGTAAACCAAATCCAACAACATATCAAAAGAATTATTCACCATGATCAAGTGGGATTCATCCCAGGGATGCAAGAATGGTTCAACATATGCAAATCAATAAATGTGAGACATCATATCAACAGAATAAAGGACCAAAGTCCATATGATCAGCTCAGTAGAGGCAAAGCATTGAATAAAATTCAATATCTGTACATGATAAAAACTGAACAAATTAGGTTCAGAAGGTATGCATACCTCAGTATAGTAAAGATCAAATACAATAACCCCACAACTCACATAATAGTGAAGAGGAGAAAGCTGAAATTTTCTAAGAGGAACAAGAAA